CAAATGAACAGCGTGACTCGCATTCAGGGGCCTTCGCATCTCTCTGTGTGTACATACCCTCTTCTCCTCCCTAATAATGCCAGTAGGATCCAGGCATTATGGCTCCACCCTAATGATCTAAACTAATCACTTTCCAAAGCGGTGGTATTGTTTTTAATGCTTTATTAGTATATATTTATTTTTGCATAGTGTATGTACGTGTGTGCACAGGTACATAAATGTAACCTGCTGAGTATGTTTGTGTTGTTAGTGTGTATATGGTTTCAGGGCTGGCCACTCTGTGTTGGATATCCACTAAAGGGTCACATCCCTGGGAGAGGCTTATTTTCCTTCTAGTAGTCGTTAGTTGTCTGCAGTACTTTGTCCAGGGGTGGTAGCTACACTTATTTGTGGGTGTAAGGATAGGTTTAGACTGTAGTAAGGAATTATGCTGGTCTATCAATGTGGCAGTGGCAGATTCTTTTCCAAGGTCCATGACCTCACCAACCCCCAAAAGCTGGCTAGGTTTCCAGTACTGGGCGTGATTTCCCTCCTGTTGAGTGGGCCTCATCAAAGAAGCCTGTCTTTACAGCAATTGGAAACCATCACAGAAAAACAGAACCTGGACACAATACAGACAAATAAACTTTACACACACACACACACACACACACACACACACACACACACGCACGCACGCACGCAAAGGCAGAATGCAGTCAATCTGTCTGGGGTAGTATCAGGCTGACAAACCCTGCAAAGCACTTAACTGCCCTTTGCAGGACATCTTAGAAATAAATTTCTGAACTGACAAGCTTCTCAGTTTGAGCTCAGAGCTTTCTCAATATCTAGAGCTCAATCAATACTTTAAAATGAACAAACAACCTCCTTCCACCTAAAAGCTGACGGTTAGAAACTTGCACCACCGAGGGAGTTATAGAAGTAGACGAGGATGTCTGCTGTCATGTAATGTGAGAGAGCAAAACTGTACAATTGACTCAAATGTCCACCAACAGGGCACTGGTCAGTGGACTATGCCTGAGAGGAGGCACAGCATGATGGCTAAGGGCATAGGCCCAGAGCCAAAGTGTTCACCTCTGCATCTGGCTTTGCCACTTACTAGCAGAAATTGGCACAAGCTCCCTAACCTTACTGTACTTCAGCTGCTCTATCTATAAAACAGGGTAACAAAAAGACCTAAAATGTCTGCCTCCTCTTTTACTGCCACGCTGTCTAGTAGAAAAGCCCCATTGTGAGAGGGAAGGTGGTCATGCAATGTCACCTTGGACTGAGGAAGAGAAGTCTGTAGCCACGGGAAAGAGATCCGTATCTCATTGCCTTGTTGCAAGCAGTTAATTCATACATTCCGGGGTTTAGCAAAACTCAAATGCTTTCTAGTGCAGCCATTCATACAGGAATGTTACATGGCTGCTAAAAAGACATAGCTCTATATGCACTGACTTATCACATGCTATCTTAATGTGCTTTACATTGCTGTGGTAAACACCATAACCAAAAGCAACTTGGGGAGGAGAGGGTTTATTTCACCTCACAGCTTCTCACGAAGGGATCAGGGCAAGAACTCAGGGAAGGAACCTGGAGGCAGGAACTGATACAGAAGCCGTGGAGAAATACTGCTTCCGGGCTTGCTCCTCATGGCTTGCTCACCCTGCTCTCTTATACAGGACTCTCTGTCTAAGGGTGCACGGCCCACAGTGGGTTGGACCATCCCACATCAATCATTAATCAAGAAAATGCCCCACAGACTTGTTCATAGACCAGTCTCACAGCGGCACTTCCTCAGTGGAGGCTCCTTCTTCCAAGGTAACTCTAGCGTGTGTCAAGCTCACAACGCTAACCACCACAGATGCCAAACATATATTTTAGGTCAAAGAAAAACAACTGTTAGAGTGATATGCTTGGTAAAAGTCCATTTTTGTAAATGCATTTATAAATCTATGTGTGAATATGTGCAGAAAGAAAGCCTAGGCAAATATACACCAAACTGTTTATTGACCCTTCTGGGGAGCTGCATAAATGGAATTCTATTTTTTTCTTTACCTCCCACCCCATATTTTGACAATCCATTTATTATTCTTAGAAGGAAAAAATGCTTCAAGTTTTAAGGTGGACAAGTGTAGGGAAAAACAGAATGAGAAGTCTTCCTGAAGCTACGGACTCCTTGCCTCGGTCCAATTTGACACTGCATGACCATATTCCCTCCCACAGTGTGGCTTTTCTACTAGACAACATGGCCATAAGGAAGGAGGCACACATTAGGTATGTGGCTAAGGTCATTTCCAGAAGCACAGCTGAAGCCGAGTTCTTACTTCAGATGTACCTGACTCAATGAATAAAATAGAGAAACGCCAACTGTCAAACAGCAAGAGACCTGTGAGATCATCTGAGCAACCCCTTAATTGACAGCTGGAACCAAGCAAAGGTGTTCCTGAGATAAAACCTATCAAGCACTTTTGAGAAACAAAATTTATTTCTCATTCAAAAGCCTAGAGACACATCCTCATGGGTGAGAATTTTATTCTAAGAGCAATGAACTCAATACATTTCCTACCCTACTAGTGAGAATGTAGGGTAGAAGCGATTTTGAAGAGGGAATTTGACAATGTCTCTTAAAGATGCTGCTGCTCGCCGGGCAGTGGTAGCGCACGCCTTTAATCCCAGCACTCGGGAGGCAGAGGCAGGCAAATCTTTGTGAGTTCGAGGCCAGCCTGGTCTACAGAGCGAGATCCAGGAAAGGCACAAACCTACACAGAGAAACCCTGTCTCGAAAAACCAAAACCAAAACCAAAACAAAAACAAAAACAAAAAGATGCTGCTGCTCATATTTTGTGAGTGGACAATTCCACTCCAGATAATCTTCCTGACAGAAGCATTCACCTAAACTTAACTACCTAAGGATGAACACAGAGAAGCCCTGGTTGTCATAGCTCCACACTGGAGGTTGTCTGAACATCCACCAGTAGCAGAATGGGATAAATAAATTCTGCTTATGTTCACAAATATACATTATTGAAAAATGAGTGAATTAGAGCCACATATTACAACATGGATGGACTTCACAAGTATAAAAGTGACTATAAAAATAAGTTGTAGAATAATATATACATTGAAATAGAAACAGCAGTATGTTCTTTAAACACACATATGTACACACATATGAATATATATATATATATATATATATATATATATATATATATACAGAGAGAGAAATAGAGAAAGGATTAAAGTATGAATAAATGAAAGAAATAACAAACACTACATCCAGAATAGTGTCCACTGTGGAGGGTAGGAGCTTTAATTATGAAAGAATAGATTCTATTGGTAATGTCTTTCTTAACCTGGACATCATATTATTCTTTATGCTGTTTTGAATGTACAAAACATTTCAAAATACAGTGCTTTTAAAAATGCAACAAATGCCATGCTAAATGGAAAGTTGATCACTTTCGGATATAACAAGACACTAAACACAGTGTAATAAACATAGATATCACATTCAAAATTAGAAGATTATTCCTTAAAGCTTCTTCATTTTCCTGGGACAGGAGGGAACCCACTAGAGACCTAGCAGTTGGGTGTAGTCAGCTGGAAATCAGGAGATAATCTCTCAGCCACTCAGTAGCTGTAGGAAGGAGAGCAATTTTGTTAAACTCCTGGGTTTGCATGTTTAAAAAATACAGTGCCGGAGCAGACTGTCTTACAGATTTTTGTTTTCAGATGACTGCCTCCTTCAAGTTTTTCTTGTTTGTCTGGTTGGTTAATTGGTTAGTTAGCAGCAACTGCTAAACCCATCCCTATAAAATGCTCAAGGGTTTCCTATGTCAAAAAATATTCAGATTTATTCAAAGCAGTAATCCTCAGAGCCTTTAATATGGTTTATGTACATTGTCACTCTCCAAGAGGAAAATGCAGTTAAAAAGCATTTCGAAAACTTATTGCTGTACCCCCCCCACACACACACACACATACACACACTTTAAAACAGAATCTACTGATATTCTCCTACAACTGTTGCCCTAGAAGGATTTCCTTACCACTCTAGCTGTCAGTGTTTGGAATCCTTTGGAAGGACTAGTAAGATGGGGAAAGACACCTGCTGCCAAGCCTAAGGATCCGAGTTTGATCCCTGGGACCCGCATGATGGAAGGAGCAGAACTGACTTTTGCAGGTTGTCTGTCCTCTGACCTCCACAGGAGAGTGGTGGCACATGCCCTGTCTTTCACACGCTGGAGAGAACACTGTGACTGTGTACTGAAACATCCACTGAGTGGGTTTCTCTCAGTGAACGTCCTTGATCAGTTCGGAGGTGTAGCCTCTCTCTCAGGTATTATGGCCGATGGAACACCAGAAACTTGTGAGCATCTGCCATGGGAAGGCCTGTGTCCTAGATGTGCTCTTCCCATCTGCATCTTGGGTCTGTCCGAAGTTTGCTGCTTCAAGCCAAGCTCCCCTCCTTTAGGTGACAGCAGAGCTGAAAGATGTTCCTGGTGGGAGCTCAAAGCCACTCAGCTAGGGCCTAATCCAGAAGGTACAAGTCTCTTCCTATGTGCCTTTATCCCACATCAAGAGTTGGCAGGGATCAGCACTTCAAGGCAGAGAGACCTGCTCACCCAGGGAAGGAGCGGCTCCATCTTCCTTCAGGGACAGGACATTTACTTCAACTTCCAGCACTTAGATTCCTTAGACCCATCTCCCCACCCAAACCTCAGAAGAAGAATCTGCTGAGGTTTGTGGCTTCCACCAGACTTTCTTGGAGGTGACTTACTTGGGGGCCTTTAATTTAGAAATGAAGATTCCTTTGTAAAAGTATAGGTAGAGATTTTGAATGCCTTTGTTCTTTCAAACAATTGAAAAAGTGTGTTCTCTTCCTGAAAGCAAGCGCCATGCTCTCAATATCAGCTGATAGGAGATGCTCCTAAGATCTCTACTCCCCACCCCACCTGCTTGGAACCCATGAGATCTGTCCACCTATCAAAAGAAGGATAAACTGCATTTACCCATCCAGTCCCAGGCCCGTGTACCAGGTTGGGGCACTTAGCTTGAGGCTAGGGAGGCAGGCAGTGTAGAAGAAAATGGGGTGTTGGACTCTGGAGAAGTAAGCTCTTGTTTCAAATCACTCCAAACTATGCTCTGCAGAGGTAAAGGCTGCCTCCCTGTTACAGGAGGCAGAGAGGGAATCAGAAAACAGAACAGACAATGCAGGGAAACTGCATCAGGGAAAATGAAGGGGGTCAGGAAGTCAGTGCAGAGATGCCATGATTCCCTTCACCCCGGGGCCCCGAGGCCTGAGCCTGGTTCACTTCAGGGAAGAACTCCCATGTCCTCTCTGCTGGCCAGAATACTCATTTGCTCAGAAAATTGGAGGTCCGGTATTGCCTCTCTTCTCTTTCCACACATACTCCTTCCCTCTCACCAGTAAATCTACCCTTAGACAAAAAAGCATGTCACTGAAAAATCTAAGATAAATAAATAAACACCACATTTCTATCAAAGAAACAAACCGTGGACCTTCCTCTTATTCATCCTTTAGATCACAATTGCTCCAATTGGCTTGGGTTACTAGTCTTCAGAATCTTCTTTCTCCTTTATGAATTCAATCAGTGACTACTTCATTAGAAGCCTTTTTAATGCAAGTTTTCCCCCAATGGCACATGCAGGCAGACAAGAACAGGCATACAGACATCCCCTTAGACAGTGCTACCCCTGAAGCTTCCCTTCTTACCGCCAGCTGAACGAGGGCGAGGCTTGGAAATCATTTCTCTGTGGCCTACCTTCTGATTCCGTCAGGTCTGCGAAGCAGGCGGGTAGCTGGAGGCTGGGAGGCCCGGGCTAAGCTGCCTCTGTGAATCAGCAAAGAAGTCTCTGAGACAGGGATGCCGACAGCTGCTGTGTGCACACTCTCCCTCTGTCTCTCCCACCTCCCCGTCCTCCTTCTCCTCCTCCTCCTCCTCCCCTCTCGGTGCTGCTCTGTGTTGCTATGCGATCATCACCAGGACTGACAGCACCATTCCGACCTCCGGCAAAGATACCCTTGACTGGCCAGATGTAGAGAGAGCAAGGACAGTTTTATGAAAGTACCAGAGCCGTGGCAGCTCTCGGAGATTTCAATTCAGTGGAAGCAGAAGAGCAAAGCGGAAGAGCCTGAAAAGCAGAGGGAGAGAGGGGGAGAAGGAGGAGAGGCTTCCACTGGGAGGAGGAGACAAAAGAGCCCCGGAGATCAATACGAGCTGCTGAGCTGAGCAAAGTGTCTGGCCCCCAACTTCCACATATCCAGCCCAGAGCCAAAACCAACTTCGGAGCCAGCAGCTGGCAGGGGCCCCTCTGTAGCCAGTCCAGGATTCAATTTCTGTGCCGGGAGCTGAAACACTCCGCTCTAACAATTGTCATTGATACTCAAGGTACAGTCTGGGGCACAGCGCCGGCTGCCAGTGACCTCTGAGCTCTTGGAGTCACTCCCTCTTAGACCGTCAGTGTGTGAAACTTAACAAGTAAAGGAAAGAATAGGGACTTTGAATGATTTGAGAAAATACAGTTCCTTCCTGGCTCACCTCACGGCCCCACTCACTGTCACTGATTTCGTCCACACCAGCTCTCACTCTTTTAACTGTTAAAGGTTTAAGTTCCAAACACTCCAACAGATCAGGATGCAGGATATCATATTCCTTTACTGAGGGCTCAGCACAGCAGTTCACGTAGCACATATTTGTGGAGAGAATGAACAATGAATGAATGGCTGGTAAAAGCAGCCAGAAAACCCTCACCGCCAGCCTCCTACCCTGAAGAGACTAAGGCTGGAAGCCCTCGGGGCTCCAGGCCTTGGCGAAGAGACATTCTTTCCTCCCTCTGCTTCTGAGAACTGTATGGGAGAAGGGGACTGCTTGGATGTTACTGAACTCCACTGAGGATGAAAACTCCACACGCTCTGATGGCACTGAAACTCAACACAGAAAATGCTTCTGGATTGGTGGGATCTGGGACTGGTGTTCATACGTCTAAAGGGCTGAGGAGTATTACAATGACTATTATCATTGTTCTATTTTATTGTTATTGTTGAGTGGCACTTCCTTTATTTTGTGACGTTTTTAATGACAAAACTTTTTGATTTGTTTGTTTGAGACAGGATATTATGTCTCCCAGGCTGACCTCAAACTTGCTGTGCAGTTAAGGATGACCTTGAATTTTGGGTCCTTCTGCCTTCGCCTCCTGGTGCTGCCATTATAGGCATGCAGCACCACGTTGGTTTATGTTGCATTGGGGGACAAATCCAGGGCCCCCGCGCATGCTAGTTGACCACATCACCAACTGAGCTCTATCCCAAGCCCTGAGAAAAATACTTTACAATAATTTAAATTGAAAAATAGTAATTGCGCATGCTCGGTGGGGTGTAATTTGATGTCTTAATCTATATTTACGTTGCAGAGCCACTCAATCTAATTAATATAGCACCATCTCACCAACTTAGCATCTTTTCTTGGTGAAAATGCTATAGCCTTTTAGCAATTTGGGAAGAAGCTCATTATTATCTGTGGTCACATGGTGCAATATTATCATTATGAACGTTCTCAATATAATCATTATTCTAGAGCCTCTGTTAGGAAAAACTGTGTGTGTGTGTGTGTGTGTGTATGTGTGTGTGTGTGTGTGTGTGTGTGTGTTTCAGGATGACATTTAAAAAGCTGAAGTCGTTGGCTTCAGCAAATGGTTAGAAATAAGGCCTGATCTCCTTGAAGCAAACAAAATGGGAACGAACTGCCCTTCCCAGAAGCTTTTTAAAATTTATTTTTTTTATTTATTTATTTGTTTATTATTTATTTATTTATATTTTATGTGTGCGAGTATTTGGCTTATATACAGTAATGTGCACCATTTGCATGTTTGGTGTCTGTGGAGGTCGAGGAGGGTGTCAGACTCCCTGGAACTGGAGTTGTTCGGGACCCTTATAAGCTACCACGTGGCACTGGGAAACTGAATCTGGGTCTTCTGCAAGAACAGTAAGTGCTCTTAACCACGGAGACATCAGGCCCCAGCCAGGTGCAAGAAAGGTCACTGGTTTCTGGGGTGGGGGCATGACTTGATTGGTAGAACGCTCAGAAGCATGAGGACCAGAGTTGGATTCCCAAACAGTGTGTAAAAAAGGCACAGGAGGTAAATGCAGTGTTGGTAAGAGGGGCAGCAGAGACAGTTGGAATCCCAGAGCTTGCTGACCAGCTAAACTGCCCACTTGGTAAAGTTCCAAGACAACGATAGACCCTGTCTGAAGTGAAAAGAAGAATGACCCTTAAGGCTGTCCTTTAACTTCCACACCAAGACCCATCCCTACCTCCTGCCCCAAACACAAACATGCATGGGGACACCCACACCAACACTATGCTCGTTAGTTTTGGTTGTTGGCTGGTTGATTTGGTTTTTGTCAACCTGGCACAAGCTAGAGGGACCTGAGAAGGGAGAGCATCAGTCAGTTAAGGAATTGCTTCCATCAGATTGGCCTGTTGGTGAGTCTGTGGGACATTTTCTCAATGAATGGTTGATGTGGGAGGGCACAGCCCACTGTGGGCAACGCCATCTCTAGGAAGGAGAACCTGGATTATATATAAAAAAGCAAGCTGAGTGAGCTGTGGAGAGCAAGCCAATAAGCGTTCGTCTCCAGTCTCTGCTTTAGTTCCTGCCTCAGGTTCCAGCCTTGGCTTCTCTGATGGACTGTAATGTGCAAGTCAAATAAACCCTCCCCTTCCCAAGCTGCTTTTGGTTGCGATCTTTTACCACAGCAATAGAAAGCAAACTAAGACAAAAACTACCACCAACAAAAGAAATGAGTGGCTGGTCTCTGGAGGAGCTGAGCTGTCTGGAAGAGGTTTAGACCAACTGAGGCGACACTCTTCAACCTATTGAGCCGCCTGCAGGTCGTGTGGTATGCCTCCAGGTTCCAGCTTTGTGAACTATCACTCATTCTGGTGTGGGCTTTGCTGATGCAGCTGTCTTTGAATCTTTTCTGCTCCCGAAAATGACCCTTCACCCCTACCCCTGTAAGTAACCCCAGGAAAATGCATCGGTTCAAGTTGGACTTTGGTGCTATCTGTACTTTGGTCTGTCCCCTACTTCCTATCTGGGGTGAGCAGATGTGCGTGTTGCATCTCCTCAGGAAAAATTTTGTCACACAACAGATCCACACGGTAGAAAGGGAGAACTGACTCCCTCAAATTGTCCTCTGGCCTCCACACATGTGCTATAGCTTGTGTGTACCCCTTTACACAAAATAAATAAATAAATAAATAAATGTAATAAAGGAAGGGAGAGTTTGTTGTGGCTCACAGTTTAAGAATGTAGTCTATCATGGCAGGGAATGTGAAGCAGTTGATCCTATTGTATACACAGTCCATGAAATGGCACCATCTACATGTAAGATTGATCTTCCCACTCAGTTAACCCCATTTAGAAACTCCTTCACAGACACATCCCAAGTTTTGTCCCCTAGGTGATTCTCAATTCTGTTGGCAATACTACCATCACAGCTGGTAACAACTAAGATGTAACTATACAATAATAATTATTATTATAATAAGCATTATTATTACTTTTATTGTTATACATTTACTATGAGCTAGGTACAGCTCATAGTATTATTTTGTTCAGTTAACCTTCCCAGCAAATAGCTTTTATTAATACTTCCATTTTACAGTACAAGTATTATGACACAGTAACATTAAGCAATAACCCAAGCAAGCCCAAGGTCACATAACTAATAAATTATGATTCTAAGGCTTAACTTAGACCCCACTGGCCAATGCCTACATGATTAACCATGATGCTTATGTTCTTTTATTTCCCTAGCCAAGGCCTAATCCAGTGTCAGGCCGAGTAAGTCATTGAGACCAATGTGGCAAGGGCAGATAAATTCCCAGGATAGCTTCTCTATCTTTCATGCTTTCCCTCAAGCTATTTTACCTGCTCAAAATGTCTTTCTTTTGTAAAAGGGACCTTAGGAACCATTCTTAGGAGTTGAGGAGTGCCAAGTTGAGACTACCCTACAAACACTTGGTTTATACTGTGATTGGAGTATGAAAGGGGAAATATTATAAGTGCCTTTGGTATGAGGTAGAGCTTCCCAGGTTGCCATGGTCCCCAGCCAACCCACCGCTCTCACCTGCTCCCTGTACTACATGCTTAGCTCCTGGAATGTGGAGAATATGTTGTCTCCTAGCGCAGTGAAGGCTCATGTTTTGCTGCTGTTGTTCTTTTGGGATGTTTGAAGGAGGGTTATTTGGTTTGATTTTTTTCCAGGGGAGTTGGGATGGATAGAGCTTCTAGTTATGTTTCAGGAGAGACAGCTTGTTTGCTTACCATCACATCACAATTGGACAGCAAGTTTACTTTGCCAAGAAAACTTACTTTACTCAATAAAAGTGTGGAGCAAGCAGAACAAGCATACAGGCTAGTCGACTGTATCTCTAAGGCAAACAGACATGGAGGACATGTCCGGCCATAAGCTTTGACTTTACCCAACATCAGTAACTACAAGAGAATTGTGATGCCCACTCTAGTATCACCGGGGCACACTTTACAGGGTGAACTAGGACAGGTAGGGCATTTCAGGTAGAGAGAAAGTAGGTATAAGAACACAAATGCCAGAGGGCATGATTTGTTAGGGACTGTAGTAGGTGCTTGCTAAGTATGTAAGTTTAAGCTAGATCTGCAGATATGAAAGGGGAGAAAGCCCCAACAGGAGCTGAAGCTATGGAGGCACACAGATCAGGCTATAGAAGGAATGGAAGCTTCTGCTAAAAAGGAATTAAGCATTTTAAGCCAGAAGGTAATATGGTCAGAGTTTGTTTTTAGCAGTATCGCTTCCAGTGGCTTTTGTTCACAGAACCGTGACCGAGGAGCTCCCGTACACTGCTTTCTGCGCTGCACCACAGGGCCATACGAAACAATTCTGAAATGGCTTTCAGGTTGGTCACGGGCAAATCACTGAGATAGCTAATGAGACATAAACACAATGGAGTGGTGAGAATACTGAAGGCCGGCCGGACCAAAAGAGAGGAAGGTCAAAAGCTTGGGGTGTGGTTGTAGTGTCCATCTATTGAGGGCAGGAAGCAAGGCAGCGGGGCGGAGGGTGGGAAAATGGGCACTTAGCACCGTCATGGAAAATGTGTCTTATTCCCCCAATGGATCGTCTTCATAATACTTTTTTCTCTTACCATTTCTTCCTAGCCTGGTTATTTGCTAAGTGTCTGAAGGAGAAGTAAACTTTTAGTAGTTTTTTTTTTTTCCTTTGGGCATGGGAGAGTTGGTGTGGTTAA